GGTTTCCTCGAACGCTAGACGTCTCTCCAGCTTTGCCGTGCTTTGACACTGAGATCAGCTCATCGAAGCCCAGGGACCAGCCAGAGGTGCGATCTTGCCTGGGCATGATGGCGGCTTTCTAAGGTCCCCTGTGTATGGGTGGGATGCTCATGGATGTCCCAGCTTCCTGAGAGTCTGACCCAGCTGCCTAGGCCTTTGTTGGATGTCTCCACCTGTTCTCTCATCCCAGGAGGTACAAAGTGGGTTGCAATGCCCTCTAACCTCCCTTTCTTTTGAAGATGGCCTTTTAGCTTGGACATTTGGTTGGTTGCTGCACACCTGACTGTCTCCAGAGCCTTGAGGAAGCTGGTCAGGAAGCTTCCCGTTCCATTTCATTGACATTTCTGTGGAAAAGGGAAGCTTAGAATGCTCTGGCCTACTGTGTTGCTGGCTTACTTTTATCTTTTAAAAGCTCCATTCTGAAAATAGGAGACCATGAATCTATAACAAGATAAATGAAAAATAAATAAATAAATAAGAGGCGAGATAAGAACGCTCTTCTGAGATCAGAACAAGGAAACCCAGTGGCCTCTTGTAGCGGTCACAGTGGGCAGGCTGAGGGCCTGGGAGCCCTGTGGCCTAGCACTTCCAGAAGGCCCTTGCTAATTCTCCAGGGAGTAGGGCATGCTCAGTGCCGAAGCCCCATGCCGTGCCATGCCGTGAAGGTGGGCATCCAGCACCCTGAGCCTCTGGACACCACACACTGGGAAAGACTTGGCTATGCTAAGTTCCACCAAAGTGTGCACCTCACCATAACCCACCACAGTCCTCACAGGGCCAAGGGCAGAAGACACAGAGTCCAGGTAGAAAGAGACTGAAAAGAGGACTTCTGCAGTGTGTGGCCCTGGATCAACCTGGGTAGGAAGTGAGCAGCTATAACAGGTGCAGCCCAGCTGGTGGAGCTCACCGAGCCTGGACTGTGGTGCTGTGGCACCGTGTGCTCCTCAGGGTGTGAAAAGGTGTGGCTGTGAAACACCAATGGTTCAGAAAATACGTGCGTGCAGAGAGAGAACAGTGACGCACGCTGAGCAAAGTGTGCAGGGGCGAACCAGGTAGAGGGCACAAGGGCCTCTTTGCTTTACTTCTGCAACTTTATCTGTAAAGTCAGAATCATATCAAGAAAAAGTGTAAGTAAGGTCCAAAAGATACAGTAGATACTGTGAAATGGGAAGAAACTGTTCAAAAGGAAAGAGCAACTAGGGTGGGGGAAAGGGGAAAGGAAGGAAGGGAAAGGGGAAAAAATAGAAGATAGTTAAGATAGTTACACTACTAGTTTCTCTTAGTTCAGAAAAGTTTGTGCTGATATTGTTTGGAGAATTTTTTGTGCCCATGTCTTGTACTCTGAGCAACTATTTTGAAGATAACACCATGCAGTGTATTAACTATTGTTATTCTCCTATTATTTTGTTTCAAGATTTTGTTTTATATTTTCCCATAAAATTAAACCAAAAAAAAAAAAAAAAGTCCCCAGAAAGCTTGGTTCCAGCTGGGATTTGAAGAGCTGACCAGTGGGAGATCAGAGAGGGACGCCCCGCTGGCCTCCACCGGACCTGGATATGGAGGTGAGCTCGGGAGAGGAAGGAGGAAGGGGCCGGGAGGGGAGGGCATTGCCTCTGGGCAGCAGAGGTGCGTGACCATGACCAGCCCAGCCAGGGCAGTGCACGGAGCCCCAGCACCTTAGGTGCTTGGTGCCTCCTCCCTTCCCCTCCCCACCCGCACTCCCAGATGGGGCCAGGGCCTGTGGGGCTCCACAGGGTGCAGGGCCAGTGTGCACAGCCCCGCATTTGCTCAGGATTAGACGGCCCTTGGGAGAGCAAACAGCAAGCGTGCAGAGTCCTGTCCTGGACAGAGGCGCCAAGTGTCAGTGGGCAAACAGGACCTCCCTTCCCTCCAGGAACCCCATGTTGACTTAGCACCACAGGGTTTGCAGAGGGGCCTGAGGCAGCACAGGCCACCCGCCCCGATGGCCCAGTGCTGACAGAGGCCCCTGGCACCAAGGCTGCGGGCGTCCACGCCCAGGTCCTGCTGGTCCCATCCCTGCTGAGCCCTTCCTGCTGGCCTCAGAGCTCAGGGAGGACCCGGCCTGGTAGGGGACCCTAACCCTAACCCCAGTCCTCTCCAGGCCCAGGGAGGCACAACCTGGGCTGCGAGGCTCATCCCTTGCGGAGATATGAATCCAGGGAGAATGCCCACCCTGGCCTTTGTGCCCAGGGCCACCTGCCCCGGCCAGTCATGGAACACCAGGGGCCGAGTTTGGGAAGGAGTGTGGAGTGGGTGGAGGGCAGGCTGGACAGGCCTGGACCAGGGCCTCTAGACCCCACCTCAGGGGCCCCGTCACACCCAGGCCAGAGCTGCTCAAGGACTCAGGCACAGGGAGGGGCACGGCAGGAACAGCTCTCTCCAGGGAGCAGCCCGGCCAGGGCCGGAGGTGGGCAGGACAGTGCAGGGCGGTCACCAGCGGGTAAACCAAGTCACTCGTGGCAGCAGGGGGTGAGCGTGGAGCGTGGGAGATGGGGCTCCCACCCCCACCCGCAGCCCCCAGGGTCCTCCCCGCACCTTCCTCTGTACCCCCAATCCAGGTGCCTGAGAACAGCTACCACGGGCCACGCCACGGTGGTGGCTGGGCCCCTCGTCATCCCTGGGCTGGCTGGTGTGCTGTCCTCTGGAAGGAGCCCTTGCAGGGGCCTCTGCTGTGGGCACCATAGGCGCCATCTCAGGGCTTCCGCCCTTAACACTGGTCCCCGAGGTGCCCTTCCCACCTTGGGCTGGAGAAGCAGACCCCAGCCTGGGGGCCTCCCCAGCTTCCCTTCACCCTTTGACCCTTAGACAGGTCCCAGGCCTGTCCCCGCAGGCTGACCCCAGGGCTCCCATGCCTGGCTCAGGCCCTTCAGCCAAGCAGCCCCCTGGGTCAGAGCTGGGGTGGAGTCTGTGAGCTCCACCCTGGGGGTGCAGAGTGAGCAGCCTGGAGGGGTTGGGTCTCCCCGAGTCCTGCACATGCCCCCTTCACCCCATTCTGGGAGTCCTGGCCCTTTGCCTGGCAGGGGCTGTGGCCAGCAGCGCCCCCAACATCAAGCAGGGCAGACCTTGAGTCCGAGGCTCCCAGGCGGGCCCTTCCTGCCGCTCGGTGACAGGTCGTTCCGCCCCCTTGAGCCCCAAGGGTGGGGGCTGCAGCCAGCTCTGTGCTTGTTCCAGAGTCTGGGACTTGCACAATCTGCGGGGCTGTGGCCAGGGCCAGGGCCAGAGCCGGAGGGCAGCCGTTCCCACCTGGAGACGTGCGGTAGGGTTACTTCCTGCCGTGCCGCGTTCCAGCAGGGAGGGACACAGTGACGAGCGAGCGTCCGGGGGGTCACTAATCCTCACGAGGATTAGTCACGAGGAGTCCACCCCGGAGGAAGAGGTGGCTTGCGGGGACACCCGATCCGCTCTGGGGGCAGCGCTGATGAGGGCCTCAGCAAGCTGAGGACAACGGAGTCCACCAGGCACCCCGAGAAGAACCTCAGGGCTGGCCACCCAGGGCACAGGGGCAGGGCTAGGAGCCAATGGCCAGTCAGCAGGGGCAGCTCTGCTGGCTTAGGGATGGGAGCCCAGCGGAGCCGGGTCACCTAGTCAGATCCCACACCCAGGACTTGCCAGGCTGCCCTGAGGCGAGCAGCATCATGAGGCATGGGGTCAGGGCCTTGTGTGGCCCAGGCGTCCAGGGGCTGGACATAGCTGTGCGCCTGACCTCCAGGCCTCCAAATGGGGCCCCAGCGCACAGTGCCTGGAAGGTCGCAGCAGAGCCCCACGCTGCGTGGCTTGGAGAAAAGAGAGCTCCTGTGTGGCCATGTCAGTTGTGACCTGAGCAAGTGGGGTGCTAAGGCGTAGGGGACGGGAGGACAGGACACAGGGTTCAAGGTGGGTCAGACCAGGCAGGACCCCACCTGTGGCAGCCCCAGGGTGCAGAGATGCCCAGGGCGGGGCTGGGGAGATGGCCACCCAGAGGAGGGGACACAAACCCTGTGTCCATCCTTTGCTGGATGTTTCCCCTAAAACAGGACATGGCCCCCTGCCCTGCCTGTGTCCTCAGTGGCCTTCCTCGTCCAGTCTGCCTGCCGCCCTGGCCTCCCCACTGTGGGTGTATGTACCCTCCCCGCTGCCCTGTGCTGTTGTGCTGAGACGGCCTAGCCTGCCCTCCGCCTGGCCACCTGGCCCAGCCTGGTCACCTCCTAATCCCTGTGCCCACTCCTGGACCGTGGGCCTCCCGCTCTGCTATGTGGCTGGGCTGAGCCATGGCCAGCTGTCTCAAGGAGTTGGGGCACCCGGGGCTCCAGGAAGAATGGCCCAGGCGCCAAGGTGAGTGGGGTGGTGTGGCTACAGGAGAAGCAGGGCGGCCTGGTCCGGGGTCCTGGCCACCCTGCAGGGCCTGCGGGTCTCTGGGGCTGGGGGTAGCACATCACACACTCCACTCAGCTGCGTGAGGAGCCCAGAGCTTCCTGCGGGGGGGGTGGGGCGGGGTAATGGGCCCATACGCCGGGTGCCAGGAGGGCCCGCCTACTCCCTCTCAGTCCCTCTCTCCCTCCCTCCCTCATTCATTCGTCTCAGTTATTCTCACATCCATTTGTTCACATATCCACTGTTCATTCACTTACTCATTCTCAGTCACGCGTTCATCCATCCACTCATCCATTACTCAGCTGCCCAGTCCCTTACTTGTTCACTCCTTCACTCACACTCTCTGTGCTCTGCCCCAGTGCCTCTATCACTCTGGGCAGCAGCCAGGTCCTCAGGGGCCGACCCCTGTGGTACAGACCTGAGGTCCCACCTGTCCCCCTCAGCTCATGGCGCTGTCCCCAGCCACGGAGGCAGCAGGACTCCGGGGGGGCCCTGCCCGGCTGCCTGTGCCCAGTGGCGCACATGGTCTTGAGCACCAGGCCAGCCTGTCCCAAGGGGATGACGCGTAGGTTCACACAGAGTCCACAAGGTGCAGTGCTGCAAGCGTGTTTATGAAAAAGATCGTCTGTGTCCTGAGGAGGGCTTGGCCCAGGCTGAGCTGGCACACGAGGCAGGGCTGTGCCTGCCACCCGAGACCCCAGTGTGGTGCTGGAGTCCTGCTCCGGCCAAGGGCCCAGCCAAGCTCCCAATCTCCCGAGCTCTGCGCGGGTACCGATGGTGCATCCACCCTCTCGCAGGGAGGCAGGCGGTGAGGCCAGGTCCCGGGAACAAGGATCAGAGGACGTGAGGCTGCCTCTAGGTGCTGCAGGGTCACTGCAGAGGCCTGGGCCCCCGCCCCCAGCTCTCCTCAGACTCTGCCTTCCGTGATGCAGGTGCTTGGCACTGCAGGCCCTGGCAGCCACACTCCTCCACCTGGGTGTAGCTGAAGGCCCGGCTGGAGCCATCCGCGCAGCGCAGCGTCACCGTCGCACGTGAGGTCCGGAGCTCCTGGCAGCAGCGGCACCTGTGCTCCACGGCATTGGCCTCCAGAGAGTACCTGTGGGCACAGCTTTCAGCCCCTCTGCCCGTCCCACTGCCCACACAGTGGCCCCGGGTTGGGCAGCCCCCAGCTCTTGCCACTGTGCTGCCCACAGGGCCACAGCAAGCATTGCCAAGGGGAGCCGGGGTGCTGTTCTCAGTCCACACCAGCTGGACCCCTGAGCGGCGCAGTGCCCTCTGGAACGCAGTGCCTCACCCACCCTTCACGCACCCATCTGCCCCCCGGGCCTGACGACACCCCACCACCAGCACACGGGGACTCCCAGGGGCAGGAGAGGACGTACTTGGAGGAGCTGTTCCCACAGAAGCCCTCACAGTAGGCAAGGCGCACAGGCGAGGCAGAGCTGCAGTTCTGGTGCTGGAGCACCTGCTCGCGGCGGCGCAGGGTGCAGGGCCCTGGGGGAACACAGGTGTGGGTTTCCTGGGTCGCGGGGGCAGTGCCACCTCCCCCGCTGCAGTCGCCCACTTACACTCTTGGGGTTGCATTGTCGGCGCTGGTGGACAGAAGAGGCAGCAGCCATCCTGGCTCAGCTGGGCCTGGGCCTATGCCAAAGACAGGTTGGTCAGTGCCAAAGGCCACCCCAGAAGGTGGTGGGTGGGAGCCATGGGAGGGTGCTAGGGCGGACAGCCCATGGGAGGGCAAGTGACACATTGACCATGGCCCCAGGAGGGGTCGGGGCAGGTGGCCCCACAGGAGGGGATGGGGTGACCGGTCCCCCAGGAGGGGACAGGCTGATCCATGGCAGGGCCGCTCACCCGGGCACAGCTGAGAGGGGGGCACTCTCTCTTCACCGTCACCACCTCCAGCCGGTCTTCGTAGCGCTCACACGTGTGGTGCACACAGGGGTTCCCGGGGTCGGACCAGGACTCGCCAGGCTGGAAGGAGGCCGGGCCACAGGGTGAGCCTCCCCGGCACCTGCCGCATCTGTCTGTCTCCAGCCCTGCCCACCCAGAGCGAGCACCCCGGACGGCTGCACGGCCTCCATTCCCACAGCAGGGCCTGGTCTCCTGGAGCTCGGGCAGTGGCTCTGCCCCAGCCTGCCTGGACCCCCACCACGTTTCCCGGGCCCCCGCTGCGCCCGAGTCTCCTGTGCACAGCGGCAGGACTCACAAGGAGGAGGCGAGTGGGCTGGCCGGTGACATTCACGGCGACGACACAGGTCTTCTGCACGCACTCGCCACAGCACTGCCTCTGCTGGGGCTGGTACTCGAAGCCCTGCACAGAGCGGGGGACACTGGCCTGAGCTCAGGTGGGCACCCGGGCCTGGGGTGGGTGGGGCCAGCACTCACCATGGGGCAGTGGGTGTTGCAGATCTGGGTCTCGCAGCTGATCAAGAAGCCATCCGAGTTAGGGCTGCTGGGCACCTCACAGCGGCATGTCTCACACAGGCTGGAGGAGACCACGGAGCCGGGCTGGGGCAAGCAGGGCCGGGCCTGAGTGAGCTGGGCTCTGGGAAGGGAGAGACCACCCTCCCCCACCTGCCAGGTGGCCTGCCTGCCCACCAGGCTGACCCTATCCTGGGGGTGGCTCTTGGTGTCCTCTCCTGGTACAAAACCCACAGAGTTCCGAAGTGTGGGTCCCAGTGAGGTCACTCTTGGGGCCCAGCCAGGACAAATGAAGCCAGGGCCCAGTACAACCAGGATGCCATGGCTGGCAGCCCCTGAGTCCACGGCTGGGCCCAGCACCCTGGAGACAGGGGACCTGAAGCCTGGCCTCACCAAGCTGCACGGTCTACCACGCTGCTCCAGGAGGGATCAGTGCCAGAGCTTGGGGCCACCCGGAGGCTCCAGGGCCCCCGGACCTCAGGGGCATGGGGCTGGCTCACCTGGTAGAGGGTCCCATTGACGCTGCACGCTGTCCAGCCTGTAGGAGACACAAGGCTGCACCTGCCCTGCACCACCACCTGGGCCCTCCACATGGGCAGGTCTCACCCGCTTGTCCCACCTCCACAGAACCCGGCCGCCTCCTCTGGTCTGAGGACCTGGCCCAGGGTGGTGGCATGTGGGGCAGCGGCCAGCTTGGCCAGCCAGGGCGGGGAACTCACTGCAGTTCTGGCTCGGGCAGCAGGCCCCGTCCTCGTGGGTCAGGGTCGGGCGGGAGCCCTTGGGGCAGTCCTGGGGCTTGGGGCAGTAACTGGAGTTGCACACTGTGCAGAGAGGGGACATCATCAGGGGCCAGGCCACTCCACACGTGCTATCCCTGGTGTCACCAGGAGCAAGAAGCAGCAGCCTTCCCCCAGTACAAAGGGCCCCAGCCTCACCGCAGCTATACTGAGGGCAGCACTGGCCCGCCTTGGGCTTCATGGGCACTGACACAAAGCCAGGCATGTGGCAGGTGGGTGGCGGTGGGCAGGCCTTCTGGTGGCAGGTCAGGGACTTTGTGATTGGATCACAGACACATTCCTGGCAATCCACGCTGATGATCTGGCCCGGCTGTAGGGAGGACATGTGAGCCTTTGGAGTTGGCTGTGTGGATGGGGCAGCTGCAGCCAGGCTGACACACAGAGGCACTGGGTATAGTGTCCGGGTAGGCGGGTTCAGAAGCACAGACAATTCCAGGGCTGGTGGAAGAAGCCCCCCAGGGATGGCAGGGCACAGCTAGCCAGGCTTAGCACACAGCAAGAGGCAGCTCCAACATCACCCCAAGGCAGGCAGGAAGAGCTGTTGGGCAGCACCCCAGCCTGCCTTTCTGAGCCCTACAGGTAGCCAAGTCCCCACCCTGGCCACACGTCCACCTTTCCAAGGACCTGGGCCACAAGAGCCCAAGGACGGCTGCCACCCACACGCACCTGAATCGGCTCCCCGTGGGGCCCTGGGCAGCCTGCAGGGAGAGACAAAAGTCACAGGTCATAGGCATGGAGTGGGCCTGGGGCAAGAGCCTGCCCACCCGCCTCGCCATCCAGACATACTGGGGCAGTCTTCAGGCACACAGACGAGGGCGTTGGTGCTGAACAGCTTCAAACTACCCGGGCAAAAGCAGCCTTCAGTGATGCGGCCGGCCTCCGGGAGGGCCCTGTGGCGGGGGGGAGCATTGCCTGGGTGCCCTGTCCACACAGCATGGGGTCATAGTGGCCCAGGGCTCCTGGTGGCAGGTAGGGTGGGCAGGTACGTACGGGTTGCTGGTGTTGTCACTCCTGTAGCAGTAGGGTGGGTCTGACGGGCCACAGGGCTCGTACACCTTGTCCTCAGGGCAAGGGAAGGCTGCGGGTGGGAACCCCAACAGGCCAGCTCAGCCAGGTCTCTGGATTCCCTGGGCCCTGTCCACCCACTGAGGCCTGACACCGTCACAGGAGCTTCTAGGGGCTGCCCACGGCCATTCATGGGCCCAGGCTCCCCAGCCCCAGACCACCTGTGCCAGGCTCCCCGGGGCCACAGAGCCCCCAATCTGGGCACCCTCCTTTCTCCCAGGAAGCCGCTGGACATTGCCCTGGGCCAGCCCTCTTCCTCCTCTCCCTCATCCTCCTGCAAGCACGCGCAGGCTGTCTCCAGCCAGGCACTCACCGCAAGAGTTGTTGGTCCAGCTCCTCCAGTCCACGCACACGCCCTGGGCCGCACAAAGTGAGGCGTAGAGCTCCAGGCTGGAGCACACCACCTCTGGCTCCGTGTTGTGGCAGTGGTCAAAGACGCAGCCCTCGAAGAACGGCAGCGGCTCGATCACAGCATGGCAGGGCCCAAAGACACTGTGGAGGGCAAGGATGGCACAATAGGTGCAGCCTTGCCTGTTCTTCCTGGCCAGTCCCACAGTGGGGCTTCCAGGCCTGGCACGAACCCAAGGGGCAGTGGCTCTGCACACTCAGAGGCCGACGGGCTGCAAGCGCTTTCTCTCTGCAGAACCCCATCCCTGGACCCCTTCCCTGTGCTGGCAAAGCTGGGTGGTGCCCCTGTGCCAGGACGTGGTCACTGCAAAGTGCTGCAAAGGCCTCAGGGATTGACCAGCCAGCTGAGTCAGGCCTCTCTTGCCCCCCCTGCGGGTCCCGAGCTGGGGGCCTCCCACCAGCACCACAGAGACTCACTCAGTCAGGATCAGCTGGCAGATGGGCGACGGTGGGCACCGGGTAGGCGGGGGAGCGGGCACAGCAGAGGTGGACGCTGAGGGGTCATGCTCCATGGCGGTGGGTGTTGGGAGCGGCCCACGGCAGAAGGGCTGATCCGTGGTGTTCACCCTCCAGTGTTTGGACATCTCCGAGCAGGAGGTGGCCAGTGCGCCCCCAGGCATCCGGCACTCGTCCTTCCTGTCGTTGGTGCAGGTACCTGGGGGAGAGGACAGGTGAGCCAGCCAGGTGCGCGGCCCCGCCCCCTGCCCAGTGCCGGCAGGGCCCGGAAGTGCCCCCAGCTCACCACACTGGCCCTCAGTGTTGTTGGCAAATGTGCTGAAGGGCACCTCCACGGAAAAGATGAGGCCCGAGAACATGACCTGCACGCCCAGCTCAGGGATGGTCACGTACATCTTGATGCCCACGCGGGACACGGCGATGCCGTCCTTCTGGAAGCCAGGGCTGACCACCTCACCATTGAAGAGGATCTGCCAGGGGTATGGCTTGGGGTGAGCACGGCCCCACGCGTCCCTACTATGGTTCACCCTACCTCTACCACAGCCGCACCTGGTTGGTCATGATCCCCCCAACCGGCCTGCGGGTCAGCACCACCCGGTCCTCATGGTACTCGACGACGATGGACTGTGGACAGGACACGCTATTCTCCAGGTCACAAAAGTCATTGTCCACCAGCACACGGAAGTGGCCGAACACCGGCGTGATCTGCTGCACCAGTACATATGTGCAGTCGTCCAGGAAGGTGTAGTAGGTGCCGTCAAATGTGATGTAGTGCGGGTCACCCCAGCCGCTGCACACACCTACAGGCCGGGACAGTCCCAGTAAGGCCGGGATGCGGGCTCTGACACCCCTCTAGCTCAGCAGGATGCACAGCCCAGCCCAGCCTGGGTGCTGATCCTCCCCACACCCTGGCTTACACTGGCACTGGTAGTGCTGGCAGCAGCCGTGCGCATCGGCCACCTTCAGGGCCGGGTAGCCATTGGCGCAGAATGGCGGTGTCAGCTCCGGGCACGGGCGCGGGCTCAGGGAGACGACGTTGTCACCCTCGCAGGTGGCTTGCAAGCATTTGGGCATTGGCCAAGTCTCACCTTTCTGTAGAAGCCAAGGCAGTGGTGGTCTGAGTCACCCTCAGCCCTGGGGTCCACAGGAAGAGTGGTTATGCCTTGGGGACCCTGCTGTGCTGGTGCCCACCTAGCCCAACAGGCAGAGGTGCTGCTTTGGGAGCCACCCTTCATCCCAGCCCCCCTGCTGTGCCTCTGTCATGGCATCTGCCACCTGCTTGCACCCCATCACCCAGCCTGCTGGCAGACATACCCTGCCAACCCAGGAGATGGGCCACAGGCTGAAGGAGGCCACCTCCCAGCTGGGACCCTTCTGTGATGTGCTGTATTCTCTCTGTGGCCTGGGACCCTTGAGAGGTAGGCGGGGGTTACCTTTCTTTGGGGGACAGTGTGTAGGCACCGTGACGGAGAGATGTGTGTAGACGTGGATGGAGATGGTGTAGGGGTTGGGCAGGTGGGGTCCACGCCCCTGACCACATGGCAGTCCCAGCTGCACAGGGCATGGTAACAGTGGCCATCGAGGTCCGTCTGGTGGTATATGACTGACCCTATGAGACAGGGGTGCAGTGTGGGGAATGGCACCCACAGGGAAGAGATGCCACCCTGCGGCCAGCCAGCAGCCCTGCATGGGACCGACACCCATGTCCAGGTACCAGAACTCAAACGAGGCTGACAGACACACAAGGCAAAGACAGCAGCCTGCTCGTGCCCACCACGCCAGCCTCTCCTCTTGGGCAGCACAGGGACCCACTTACCTGCGGGGTAGAGCTGGCCAGACACCTGGCAGAAACAGTGGGGAGCTGGGGGGGCCCCAGAGCTGGAGGACACCATAGAGGATGGGGCTGAAGATGAGGCCTCGGTGGTAGAGGTCACAGCGGTGGAGGGGCAGCCATCGGGCAAGCGGCAGCACAGCACGCGCACCTCGTAGTCCAGGCACAGCCCTGCAGGTCCTTGCTGGTCACGGTTGTGGCACACTAGGCCCACGTCTCGGTCACACCGCACCACCTGGCCCAGGGTGGAGATGGGGACCTCGGGGTGGCTCTGGGCACGGCACTGTAGCCTCGTGACCTCCTCGGGTCTACGGCAGAGGCTGTGTCCCTTCTGGAGGATGTGGTCGTAGGTCTCCAGGTCCCCGCCATGTGACCCTGGCTCCGGTGAGTCCACGTCAAACCAGGGAGTCCAGGAGCACTGGGCCCGACAGTCTGTGGTAGCAGGCAGTGAGGTTGAAGCTGAGGAAGTGTAACCTGGGCTGGGCCCAGAGACAGAGGTGGTGCTGGTGTGAGGTGTTGGGGTGGGGGTGGAGATTGTCATGGGGACAGAGGTGGTGCTGCTGTGAGGTATTGGGACAGGGGTGGAGGTTGTCATGGGGATGGAGGTGGTGCTGGTGTGGGGTATTGGGGTGGAGATGGAGGTTATTATGGGGACAGAGATGGTGCTGGTGCGGGGTCTAGGGGTGGAGGCAGAGGTGGTGGTAGGGATGGAAGTGGTGTTGGTGTGAGATATGGGGGTGGGGGTGGAGCTGGAGGTTGTCATAGAGATAGAGATGGTGCTGGTGTGGGGTCTGGAGGTGGAGGTGGGGGAGGGGATGGAGGTGGTATTGGTGTGAGGTGTGGGGGTGGAGGTGGAAGTTGTCACGGGGACAGAGATGGTGGTGGTGTGGGGTCTGGAGGTGGTGGTGGGGACAGAGGTGGTGTTGGTGTGAGGTCTGGAGGTGGAGGTAGGAGAGGAGATGGAGGTGGTGCTGGTGTGAGGTGTGGGGGTAGTGGTGGAGGTTGTCATGGGGACAGAGGTGGTGTTGGTGTGGGGTCTAGGGGTGGGGGTGGAGGTGAAGGTGGAGGTGGGGACAGAGGTGGTGCTGGTGTGGGATATGGGGGTGGGGGTGGTGGTAGAGGTGGTGGTGGGGACAGCGGTGGTGCTGGTGTGGGATCTGGGGGTGGAGGTGGAGGTGGGG